GTGAGCCCATATTGTCAATCTTCAGCTATATCGACCATGTATCTCTTTATTTGGATATTGAATCTTTAAGTATTTGGTTTCCGTACTTAGTTTTGTTGATGATTATTCTATTACTGACAATTGCATATGATTCTTGCCTGGTTTTGCATCTTATCATATAGGATTTGCATCTTATTTCGTAGATCATATGTAAAAAAGATCAGCTAGATCATTCATACCCTACAATTTAACAATCTTAGAAACTTGTCTAAATAGTGAAAGAATTTGCATTATCATACGCGTGCTTTATTGATTGCATGTAGGAGATTTATAAATCCTATTTATTTATTCCAACATCCTGCATAGGGTAGATCATCTGTCTGTGCGAGATGGTATGGATGGGAATGATAAAGGGTTTACGGCCGACATGGATGATGAGGATCAAAATGAAATATTGCTGGACATAAGATAGTTTTGATGTACATTTTGAGGCCCTAGAGTTACTTGACACCAAGATGCGACCTCAACATGAGGATCTTAATCTACTTTGGGCATAATTGTCACCAATTATTGAAGGGGAAAGAAGATTGTTCTTTTGCGGATTAAGTCTAAATATCTGAAAATTCTAACGGGCAGAAACATGACTTCCAAGTAAGTAAAGTCAAAAAAAAAAAAATGCAGACTGTTAGCAAACAAGATGTTGTTATTAAGCCATGGAGTCGTCAACATCTGTAACCAAACCTATCTGATTAACAAATTGTTCCTTGTGAATTTTTTTTTTAATATTATCAAAAGAAAGTGGAAAGGATGCTAATGATAATAGAGTTGTACTCCACACGACTTATAACTAAGGTATATTCTGTCTCTTCTTATGGTGAGCCCATATGGTCTAGATAAAGGTTGAGTTTAACTCTTGATAAGTTTAATGTGCAATTAGTTAGGGGTGTTATTGTTGGATATAGGTAACTTAGAGAACTAACCTTGAGAGGAATCGTGAAGGTCATGATTGTGAGATTCAGGATTTTTCCTAAATAAAGTCTCATAAATGGTGTTGGTAAGCGTTGCCATTGATTAAGTTGCTCGACTAGATTGATGGATGGATATTGTGATTGTTAATGAGTTTTGATAGTGGTCTCATTAAAGGTCTATGCCATCCTTATTAGTCCTCAAAGCTTGTAACTAAGGTTATTCTATCTCTTCTTTTGGAGAGCCCATATGGTCTGGATACAGGTTGAGTTTTACTATTGTAAAGTCTTAATTTGCAATTAGTTATGGGTGTTACAGTTGGATATTGGTAACTTAGAGAACTAACCTTTGTGAGAGGAACCGTGAAGATCATGATTTTGAGCTTCGGGATTTTTCCTAAATCATTAGTGGTGTTGGTGAGTGTTGCCATTGATTAACTTGCTCGACTCGATTGATGGATAGATAGCGTGTGTTTTTTTGTTTAATGTTGTTAATGGTTTTTGTTAATGGTCCAATTCAAGGTCTGTACCACATCCTTATTAGGCCTCTAATCATGACTTTATTCCTCTCTCCAATCAAAGTAGACTAAGACCAGAGACCAATATAAGTGAGATTAAAAAAGTAACGTAAAAAACTAAGCAGATTTTCCGCCCGCAATATTACTTGAAAAACTTTTCAAAAAACCCAAAAAAATGCAGTGCCATTGTCCGAGTTTGGAGATATAACTGGAGTCCCGGGACAATGGACCGTTGGGATACGAGGTGATTCTTGATGCCAACTTGGTAGCTTTTGTGTAGATATGGTATCCATCCTAAGTTGAGTCTCGAACGCAGTCATGTTGGCAAATGTTTATCATATCAATGTTTTTCAATATCTTGAAAGTTTGTTCTGAATTGTTTCTTTGCTCCATCTGAGGTGTTTGGAAGCCATCCTTGTTTAAAGTTGAAGGGTGTTTAGATTCAAGTTTTCAGTGCTGGCGCTATTTCTATTGCTGTCCTAGTGTAATGCTTCCTAACTGTAATACTTCTGTTGATGCGTCCAGGTCACTGGCCTTTGGGTTGGAAGCCGAGGGGAGCTGTGGATATGGTTGAATGAATAGTTTGAAAGCCAAAAGTTATATGCGGGCCAGTAGTATTTTGGCTTTACATAATAATAACAGTAATAATAACAACCGAGTGGAATGTGGATATCAATTGTGCGTGTATAATCAGTATGACAAATTAAGGTTCGTACGTGATCAATTGGCAAAAAACCAGACTCTGTATGAAATAATGAGCGAGTGATTTGTCTTTCTAGTTTGCTTGTGGTCCTCAATCCTGCTGTTACTTCTCCTTCTTATTTCTTCTATTAATATTGCTTTCTTGCTGTTTTGCGGTAGATTTGTTGACACTGTTTTAAAAAACCTCCGCCTAGTCCGCTTAGGCGTACGCCTAGACCTAGGTGGTACCTAGGCCGCCTAACTAGCGTCTAGCGTCTAGGCGGTATTTAGGCTGTCCATCTAGATTTTACGAGCGTTTAGGGAGCATTGTCTGTTTACGTAGATTGCACCCTGTTGACCTTGATTGCGATTTTATGTGTCGTAGCCTACACGTCCTGCAAACTCCATTAACCTCCAAATATGAACATATTTACTACCTCCTCCGACCTTCAGCAAAACCTCATCGACCACCACTTAAATGAAGAAAAAAAAAACGCTCAGAAACCGCTTAGGCGGCCGCCTAGGCGACTAAGCGCTGGGCGCCAAGTCTCCGACGTCTAGAAGCGCCCAACGTTTAATGTAACATTGTTTGTTGATACTGTTGGAATTTTCGGATCGTCTTCCGAAGTTTATGCACTAGCTGTGCTCGCTTGTGCTGCGACTAAACTGATCGTGACGAGTCATAAAAATTAGATAAGATTGTGAGGGTCGATGAGGTACTTAGAAGAATTATTTAGGTGCAGCAACTTATGGGAGCCGTGTTGATGAGCTTATTAGGAAGTTGAACAGGGAGATTGGTCCATTTCTCCTGGAGCCTGCAACGCAATAAAATATGGGATGGAAGAATATCATAATCGAATCACATATCAACAAGAAGATAGTCCATCAACAAGAGCGATACATATTTATTTTAGCGTAGGGTTCTCTTTTCTTTTTTTTTTTGCCCCCTTCTTTTTTGTGTGCGCGTGTTGCGAAATGATGACATCAGGAAGAAAAATGTCGCGCTACCAAAACTCACTCGATGCCGGGGTTTGGACTCACGTTATTGCCTCTTACTTTCGCATGGTCGCAGTGTATTTTATTTCTTACCGCCCCTGCGAAAGGGTTTTCGGCGTTTGTCTGTCGACCCTCTCTCTTGTCTTTAAGCTCCGCCAAGAGAGAGTACGGTGTCATGTTGGATTCTTCTTGGTCACCCGTCAGCACCATCGACATCGAGCGGTGGCATTTACTGATGATAGCCCCCGTCCGTGTCATCTCGTCGTGTCGTCGACGGCAGTAGCTACTAGCCTAGGACGGTAAGGTAAACACACAAATCAATCGTTCGTTTTTCTCAGGGGGGAAAAAAATAGTATTATCGTGTAGAACGAACGGACGTTGCTCTTCATTTTATTTTATGATATGATCAGCTGTTTATACAATTTCCTTTCATGCCAACAAAAACTAATCCAACAAGGCCACGAGAATAAAATCCCTTCTGGTTAACGACACAAAGATAAATGTGAAGTAATAAGCAAATACGTCACAGATGATTCAGTCAAATAATTTAGGTTTGCCAGTCCCGAACTCTGATACGGCCCAAAATAGCCTGCCCACAGCGTCGGCAGAAGTGCCTGGGATCTTAGCGCCTTTTTATTTTCTACGGTCAATTCGACACACAATGTTTGTGTTTTCTCCCCTAGCTTTCCCCCTTTTTATTTTTTTTTGGGAAAAATCTCTTTTAACCCAAAGTTTTACCCCCAATTATTTAAAAACCCATCCATTTTACTAAACACCAATAGACCCAATGTATCTCATCTCACTTATTTTTAAACCCAACATGTATAATACACCCATTTTTTGTACTGTATTTACCCAACAAATTAAAAATTCCTAAATTACCCTTCATCCCCAAATATAACTCAGCCCCTCTCTCTCTTCCAGTCTCTCTTCCGTTTCACTTTCTCAAAGAGTCCAGGAGAGATTAGGGTTTCGGCGAAGAGGTCTCGGGTTGAGGATCACTGACGGTGAAGGGAGTTGGATCGACGGTGAGCAACGACGAGTAGGGTTTTAATCGAGGTCTTTTTAGGTAATTTCTTTTCTTTTCTTTCTCTCTCCTAATTTTGTCCGTATTTTTTTTGCTTTACTTGTTCTTGAATCTGTTAGACGAAGCTCGTAGCTGAATTTCTTGGAGAATTTTTGGCAATAAAACCGTAGGTTTGGCTTCATGTTTTCCAAAATGTCCATTCTATTTGTGGTTTTCTTGTTTTTTTTGTGGAACATAGGAATCTTGAAGACGCGTTGAATGAGTAATCATCAGCTATTTCAACAGCAACTCCTCAAATTTAATGATTCTAGTATGATCTTGGAATTAGTCATGTATTAGGGCAACAGATCTAAGGTTTTAGCTCGGGGAAGAAATACGATAAGAAAACATTAGGGATGAATCCGAGCAAACAAAGTTCAATTCACTGATATCTCCAACTGACTTATAACTCTCAAGCTTACGCTTTTGCTTACAGATCCTCGGATTGTTTCGTACATTGGAAGTTCGTTTAGTATCTTCACTCTTATTTACATCGGTGAGTTCTAATAATTTATCCATTGTTTGGCTGACCTAATTAAAGTTCCAAAAGAAGAACACTTTCTTTTGATCGAAATTAAGCCCCTTGTTGTAGTTTTGATCACATGCAATTTGCACGTATAAATTGTTGAAAGGGCCCGAAAGATAAGATTGTACTTATATCACAGTAATCTCTCGAACATCTAAGGTTTAACACCTATGATAGCTTGGTGTTGAAATCATTATTTATAAAAGGATTCCAACCTGCCGCTGGGATATTCATAATTATATTGTATTTTTTGAAATATTTGTCAATAGGTTGTCAAAGATGTCAAGCAGAAGTAATCTCTACGAGCAAAGACCGCGATTGCCTTTATCTCGGAGGAAGCAAAAAATCTGCTAGAATATGCTTTTACTCAGGAAGTAGACTCTGAATATATATGTCTTGGATGTTCTGAATGTTGAAGTTGCACATGAGCTTGGGTACTTGACAGATTCATTTTGTGGCTATTGGTTGGTTACATTTTGTGTTGATTGTGTACTTGGCAGATACATTTTGTGTTTATTGTGTAGCTTAGATCTGTGCAGGAGCATAGGGCGTTGATTTTTAGAGTGGTGTTGTATATTTGTTGTTTTATGCTGTAATTATGTTATTATTGATAAATTTCTATGAAATGTTGAAGTTGAGCAGGAGCTTAGATCTGTGTACTTGGCAAATTCATTTTGTGTCGGTTGGTGTATTCATTTTGTGTTGATTGTGTACTATATTGATTCATTTTGTGTTTATTGTGTAACTTAGATCTGTGCAGGAGCATAGGGTGTTGATTTTTGTAGTTGTGTTGTGTATTTGTTGTTTTATGCTGTAATTATGTTCTTATTGTTAAAATTCTGTGAATGTTGAAGTTGTGCAGGAGCTTAGATCTGTGTACTTGGCAAATTCATTTTGTGTTGGTTGGTGTATTCATTTTGTGTTGATTGTGTACAATATTGATTCATTTTGTGTTTATTGTGTAGCTTAGATCTGTGCAGGAGCATAGGGTGTTGATTTTTGTAGTGGTGTTGTGTATTTGTTGTTTTATGCTGTAATTATGTTCTTATTGTTAAAATTCTGTGAATGTTGAAGTTGTGCAGGAGCTTAGATCTGTGTACTTGGCAAATTCATTTTGTGTTGGTTGGTGTATTCATCTTGTGTTGATTGTGTACAATATTGATTCATTTTGTGTTTATTGTGTAGCTTAGATCTGTGCAGGAGCATAGGGTGTTGATTTTTGTAGTGGTGTTGTGTATTTGTTGTTTTATGCTGTAATTATGTTCTTATTGTTAAAATTCTGTGAATGTTGAAGTTGTGCAGGAGCTTAGATCTGTGTACTTGGCAAATTCATTTTGTGTTGGTTGGTGTATTCATCTTGTGTTGATTGTGTACAATATTGATTCATTTTGTGTTTATTGTGTAGCTTAGATCTGTGCAGGAGCATAGGGTGTTGATTTTTGTAGTGGTGTTGTGTATTTGTTGTTTTATGCTGTAATTATGTTCTTATTGTTAAAATTCTGTGAATGTTGAAGTTGTGCAGGAGCTTAGATCTGTGTACTTGGCAAATTCATTTTGTGTTGGTTGGTGTATTCATCTTGTGTTGATTGTGTACAATATTGATTCATTTTGTGTTTATTGTGTAGCTTAGATCTGTGCAGGAGCATAGGGTGTTGATTTTTGTAGTGGTGTTGTGTATTTGTTGTTTTATGCTGTTTTTATGTTCTTGTACCCAATTGTTTGAAGGGAAAATGTTACCAAGAATTAAGTTGATGGATATTAGTTATGGCTTGTACCCAATTGTTTGAAGGGAAAATGTTACCAAGAATTAAGTTGATGGATATTAGTCCTTCCAAATTGATAGATATTACTGCTGTTTTTCAGAAACCATAATAATACAAACGTCACGTGTTTATTGACCAATCATCCACCGCGACGAAACCACTCGACGACCTACGTCACGTGTTTATTGACCAATCATCCACCGTGACGGGGGGTCCTCACGCAATTTTGAAGCTTCTGGACAAAGTATAGCACCTTATGAGAAAGTATAGCACCTTTTGGCCAAAGTATAGCACTATATTATAAAGTATAGCACTTTATTGGCAAAATATAGCACCTTATTGGCAAAGTATAGCACATTTTGCTTTCTGAAAATTCTGCACCTTAAGTGTCTAAAATCAAATCAGTTTTTTTCGCCGCGACGAAACCACTCGACGACCTACGTCACGTGTTTATTGACCAATCATCCACCGCGACGGGGAGATCCTCGCGCAATTTTGAAGCTTCTGGGCAAAGTATAGCACCTTATGGAAAAATATAGCACCTTTTGGCCAAAGTATAGCACAATATTACAAAGTATAGCACTTTATTAGCAAAGTATAGCACCTTATTGGCAAAGTATAGCACCTTTTGTTTTCTAGAAATTCTGCACCTTAAGTGTCTAAAATCAAATCAGTTTTTTTCGCCGCGACAAAACCACTCGACGACCTACGTGACGTGTTTATTGACCAATCATCCATCGCGATGGGGGGTCTTCGCGCAATTTTGAAGCTTCTGGACAAAGTATAGCATCTTATGGGAAAGTATAGCACCTTATGGCCAAAGTATAGCACTATATTACAAAGTATAGCACTTTATTGGCAAAGTATAGCACCTTATTAGCAAAGTATAGCACATTATGCTTTCTGGAAATTCTGCACCTTAAGTGTCTAAAATCAAATCATTTTTTTCGCCGCGACGAAACCACTCGACGACCTATGTCACGTGTTTATTGACCAATCATCCACCGCGACCGGGGGTCCTCGCGCAATTTTGAAGCTTCTGGGCAAAGTATAGCACCTTATGGAAAAATATAGCACCTTTTGGCCAAAGTATAGCACAATATTACAAAGTATAGCACTTTATTAGCAAAGTATAGCACCTTATTGGCAAAGTATAGCACCTTTTGCTTTCTAAAAATTCTGCACCTTAAGTGTCTAAAATCAAATCAGTTTTTTTCGCCGCGACGAAGCCACTCGACGACCTACGTCACGTGTTTATTGACCAATCATCCACCGCGACGGGGGGTCCTTGCGCAATTTTAAAGCTTCTAGGCAAAGTATAGCACCTTATGAGAAAGTATAGCACCTTTTGGCCAAAGTATAGCACTATATTATAAAAAATAGCACTTTATTGGCAAAGTATAGCACCTTATTGGCAAAGTATAGTACCTTTTCCTTTCTGAAAATTCTGCACCTTAAGTGTCTAAAATCAAATCAGTTTTTTTCGCCGCGACGAAACCACTCGACGACCTACGTCACGTGTTTATTGACCAATCATCTACCGTGACGGGGGGTCCTCGCGCAATTTTGAAGCTTCTGGGCAAAGTATAGCACATTATGGAAAAGTATAGCACCTTTTGGCCAAAGTATAACACAATATTGCAAAGTATAGCACTTTATTAGCAAAGTATAGCACCTTATTGGCAAAGTATAGCACCTTTTGCTTTCTGAAAAATCTGCACCTTAAGTGTCTAAAATCAAATCAGTTTTTTCGCCGCGACGAAACCACTCGACGACCTACGTGACATGTTTATTGACCAATCATCCACCGCGACGGGGGGTCCTCACGCAATTTTGAAGCTTCTGGGTAAAATATAGCACCTTATGGGAAAGTATAGCACCTTATGGCCAAAGTATAGCACTATATTACAAAGTATAGCACTTTATTGGCAAAGTATAGCACATTATTAGCAAAGTATAGCACATTATGCTTTCTGAAAATTCTGCACCTTAAGTGTCTAAAATCAAATCAGTTTTTTTTTGTCGCGACGAAACCACTCGACGACCTACGTCACGTGTTTATAGACCAATCATCCACCGCGACGGGGGGTCCTCGTGCAATTTTAAAGCTTCTGGCGAAGTATAGCACCTTATGGAAAAGTATAGCACCTTTTGGCCAAAGTATAGCACAATATTGCAAAGTATAGCACATTATGGGCAAAGTATAGCACATTATGGGAAAAGTATAGCACCTTTTGCTTTCTGGAAATTCTGCACCTTAAGTGTCTAAAATCAAATCAGTTTTTTTCGCCGCGATAAAACCACTCGACGACCTACGTCACGTGTTTATTGACCAATCATCTACCACGACGGGGGGGTCCTCACGCAATTTTAAAGCTTCTGGGCAAAGTATAGCACCTTATAGAAAAGTATAGCACCTTATGATCAAAGTATAGCATTATACTGTAAAGTATAGCACTTTATTAGAAAAGTATAGCACCTTATTGGCAAAGTATAACACATTATGCTTTCTGGAAATTCTGCACCTTAAGTGTCTAAAATCAAATCAGTTTTTTTCGCCGCGACGAAACCACTCGACGACCTACGTCACGTGTTTATTGACCAATCATCCACCGCGACGGGGTCCTCGCGCAATTTTGAAGCTTCTGGGTAAAGTATAGCACCTTATGGGAAAGTATAGCACCTTATGGCCAAAGTATAGCACTATATTACAAAGTATAACACTTTATTGGCTAAGTATAGCACCTTATTGCAAAAGTATAGCACCTTTTGCTTTCTGGAAATTCTGCACCTTAAGTGTCTAAAATCAAATCAGTTTTTTTCGTCGCGACGAAACCACTCGACGACCTACGTCACGTGTTTATTGACCAATCATCCACCGCGACCTCCTCGTACAATTTTGAAGCTTCTGGGCAAAGTATAGCACCTTATGGGAAAGTATAGCACCTTATGGCCAAAGTATATCACTATATTACAAAGTATAGCACTTTATTGAAAGTATAGCACCTTATTGGCAAAGTATAGCACATTATGCTTTCTGGAAATTCTGCACCTTAAGTGTGTAAAATCAAATCAGTTTTTTTCGCCATGACGAAACCACTCGACGACCTACGTCACGTGTTTATTGACCAATCATCCACCGCGACGGGGGGGGGGGGGGTGGGGGGGGGGGGGGTCCTCGCGCAATTTTGAAGCTTCTGAGAAGAGTATAACACCTTATGGAAAAGTATAGCACCTTATGGCCAAAGTATAGCACTATATTGTAAAGTATAGCACTTTATTAACAAAGTATAGCACATTATGGGCAAAGTATAGCACATTATGCTTTCTGAAAATTCTGCACCGTAAGTGTCTAAAATCAAATTAGTTTTTTTTGCCGCGACGAAACCACTCGACGACCTACGTCACGTGTTTATTGACCAATCATCCACCGCGACGGGGTGTCCTCGCGTAATTTTGAAGCTTCTGGGCAAAGTATAGCACCTTATGGGAAAGTATAGCATCTTTTGGCCAAAGTATAGCACTATATTGCAAAGTATAGCACTTTATTGGCAAAGTATAGCACCTTATTGGCAAAGTATAGCATATTATGCTTTCTGGAAATTTTGCACCTTAAGTGTCTAAAATCAAATCAGTTTTTTTCACCGCGACGAAACCACTCGACGACCTACGTCACATGTTTATTGACCAATCATCCACCGCGACGGGGGGGGTCCTCGCGCAATTTTGAAGCTTCTGGGCAAAGTATAGCACCTTAGATGTAGAATTTCCAGAAAGCATAAAGTGCTATACTTTGCCAATAAGGTGCTATACTTTGCAAATAAAGTGCTAAACTTTGCAATATAGTGCTATACTTTGGCTAAAAGGTGCTATACTTTTCCATAAG